GGCGGAGGCACCTGATGTCATCATGGCGTGGGTGCGCCAGGCTCAAGTCACGTTCGGCACTCCTCTGAAGTGCCTCCATTCTGATGGCGAGGGAGAATTTCGCAATGGAAAACTCGATAACTTCTGTGCGGCCCAAGGGATTCGGCAAACCTTCACGCTCCCCGAAAGCCCGCAGCAGAATGGCATTGCAGAGAGCCGCAACCACACCTTGGTTCAGATCGCTCGCTGCCTCCTCAGTCACGCCAACGCACCACGGTCACTCTGGGGATATGCCCTCTTCCATGTGGCACTCCTCTACAATCTTTATCCGCATCCCCACCGGCCCGACACCACACCTACCGCTCTCTGGCTTGGGGTCACTCCTTCCGCCCGCTCTCTACGCGTCTGGGGGTGTACCGCGTATGTGTTGCCAAGCCCCCACACGCGCAGGAAGCAAGGTGGCAAGCTTGGTCCCAAAACCCAGACCTGCATGTACCTGGGGCACAACTCCGACTCCCCAGACTACTTATTCCTCAACCCAATCACCAGACAGCTGATTCGCAGCCGTGATGTCGTCTTCGATGAGACACGCCCATTCCACTCTGCGACCACGGGCGAGCCTCCTCCACCTCCCCCGACGCTTGTTTGGGCAGACTTCGATGCCCCACCTCCGGCCGCTGCCCCTTCTCCGGGGCCTTCTCCGTCCGGCGTGTCTCACCCGGCCTCCCCGGTATCCTCCACAGCGGCACCTCCTCCTGCTCCGCCTTCCCCGCGCGTCGAGCCCGGCTCACTAGTCTCCTATCGGAGGCGCCCAGTCCCTCCGGTCCCACCGCAGCCGCCTTCGTCTCCGGTCTCTAGTCGCACTCGTTCCAAGGGACCGGCTCCGCCTCTCGCCTGGGGACCAGCCGCCTTCTCCATCCGGTGTTCGGTCAGCCCGCCTTCTCCTGCCGGGGGTGATGTCCCCTCCATCCGTATTCCCCCCCGTGCACTTCTGGAGGACAGGCATGAGGAGCTGTTTGACCTTGACGCGGTATGCCAATTTCTCTCTCACATCTTCCCGGACATTACTGACTGCCCTTTCCTCAACGGATGCCGGATGGTGTGCGAGCACCATGCCATCTATAGGGGGTCAATGCGTCTGGTTAACGCAAGGCCATCATGGGCGTCGTGGGGTCTCTTCTTGGCATGCACAGAGTGTTGCCACACCATAGAGTTTTGGACATGCACAAGGAGGGAGTTAGAGGCGGGGGGGAGGAGGAAGGGGCCACGATCGCCGAAACAGCTGTCCCGGTACCTGGGGGCGTTTGCACTGGCTGGGATGGGGTACCAACAAATGTGGGAATTCAGTCGCACATTCAAACTCCCATGTCCAGGCAAGTCAACGTTCTACCGGCACCTGGGGGGCGAGAAGGGGTTGTGGAAAACCATCATTCGAGAGGCGGAGGCATCAATGCTGGATGTTAGGAAAGGTATTTTAGAAAGAAACACTGATAGTGCTGAGTACGTATGCATGGTCGGACGGTGGTCCCAGGTGCGAGAGGGAGAGTGGTGCACTGTCTCATGGATTGATGAACACACGAGAAAGATCTTGTTTGTCCAGACTACGCAGAAGGGTGTTGACGATCCGTCGTGGGTGAAGCTCGAACGCCACGCATTCGACCAGGGCATGGAACGGATGGAGGAAGAGGGATTTCCTATCGGGGGTATCATATCGGATCAAGGGAGTACGTTTAGGGGGGCTGCTAAAGAGCGGGAGATGAATCACCAAGTAGACTGGTGGCATGCGAAGCAGTCTATGAAGAAAGGGTTCTTAAAAGATTTGCAGGACCGCTTGCAGCCAGTCGTACACGTTTGTGTGGCGCAACGAAGCGAGGATTTATGGAACACGAGTGTAGAGAACTTGCGGGCCTGGTTGGAAGGTAAGGGTAGAGTAAATGAAGCAAAAGCATCGCTCAAGGAGACGCTCGTACAGCACGTTTGCAAGGCGATAGGCCAATTCCCATATATTCAAATGATGCAGGATGATGCAAAGTACATGTTTCCCGAGCTACACAAGGTGATGCGGGTTGGAGGGGACACCGCGTGTGTGAGTGTCCCGCTTTCCTATGGTGGGGTTCCAATTGGAAGCGATGACAGGCCTAGTTTTGAGGAGGATGCGGTTAACGCGAGGGGTGCGGCGGGAGATGGGGGGGCGGGGGGGGGCTGAGGCGACCGCTGGACCAGCGGGTTCCGTTTGTGTGGAGGTTCAATTGGCGGACGTGGCAGAACAGTGGGGGTACGATGCACATGACAAGTTTGGGATTCGGTCATCTTCCATGGCATCGACGATCATGGTGCAAGCGCACATGGGGGATGCAGGGTGCGATCACTTCATCTGTGGAGTGATGCCGTGGCAGGAGATTTCTGCGCCCGCAGGTGAGGCACCCTTGCTGTGAGGTAGCGAGTTTGAATCATCCAACACTGACTGAAATCTCTGTGTGTTGGCAGATGTGACCCCTGCGTCAACTATTGCAGGCCAAGACACATGTCGACATGCCCAGACCAATGCAGGGACCACGGGAAGTGTGGCACTGGAGGTCGTCCACGCGGACCCCCTACCCCTATGGGCCAAGCGTTCAAAGCGGAAAAGGGGGTCAGCATTGGTAGAGGGGGCTGGTTGTAATAGGGGGGAGGAGGTGATGGTTGTACAGCGTCTGCTTATCCACTTCTATCACGTCATGATGCGATGCGGCGTCTGCAAGCGTGATGGCCATCCCATGACGGCGGCGGCCGTGTTGGAGGAGATTTGCATGTCCGCTGACCACTGGGCGGGGGATCATTCACGCTGTGCACGGGGTGGGATCACCCCCCCACGTTGCATGTTTGAGCACTGGGGTAAGGAGAATGCCATATACGCGGACGGATCGGAGGCGCACCAAGCTGTGACAAATTGGCTCACAAAGCACTATGGGGTGGAGCAGGTGAAGATGTTCATCCACGGTGCATGCAGTTCTCTGAACGATTCGTTTCACTCCCTTATTTGTAAGTATGCACCGAAACGCTTAAGGCTGCGAGGTAGCTTCCGTGCGAGGACCGCTCTGGCCGTTCTCCATTTGAACAACTGCATGGACCGTCTGGTGACAGCCTACGTGACCCGAGTGGTCCGTGTTACGGGGATTCGACGCGGGAAGCACACTAGGGTATTGGGAAAAATGGATTGGGGCTGGGTTGACCGTATTATGGGGGAGTGGCAACAGGATACGCCCAACGCTGTGGAGCGGGAGTGTACCGCGGACTTGGGCTGTGATGCGACGCGGCGCACCCGCACGCGGCGAGATACAGTGTCCCTTGCATCTCCAAACATTGTTGTCACTCCGCTCAGGACACCCCAGCACCTGAGCCAATGCCCTCTTTCACCTCGCCGTGTCGCACCTTCAAGCGTTGCTCGGCAGATACTTGGTGAGACTTACACCCGTTCCCTCATTGCATGTTTCATGGTGACCCCCTTTATTGCGCCTGCCCGTGGTCCCTTTGCAACGCCAAAACGTCCAATCTGTCCCGCTTGTGTGTACCCCATAGGAGCACCGTGCGTTCCCAAACCCCCTTTCATGCTTTGCCTCCGACATACCCGTTCCCACGTATGCAGCTGATGGCACCAACTTGCTGCGGTAAGCATCCAGCGGGCTGTGTGGAGACTCGCACCCTCAGGAGACCCTTCAAGCCTCCGAGGACCGCGCCTGGCCACGCGCCCCTATAAGCAGCGGCACTGCTGGCCTGACAGGTAAACAAATCCATACCTAGCTCCCTCCGCTCGGCAGATACTTGCTGTTTGGTGTGGCCAATTGGTGTGGCTGTGAGTTGTGGGGGATAGGTGTGCCGTGTGTGCGTGATAAGGGTGGCTGATTGTGGTTGCCGATTGTGGTTGCCGATTGTGGTTGCCGATTGGTGTGGCTAATATGTAGAGCATTAGGGTGTGCAAGGCAGGTGGGGCTGACAGGTCTGGCAATTTGGAAACCCCAATAGGTGTGGCTGTTTGGCATGGCTGAGAGGTGCAGCAATTTGGCATGGCTGAGAGGAGTGGCTGCTTGGCATGCCTGACGCGTGCAGCTACTTGGCATGCTTGACATATGCAGCTGCTTGGCATGCCTGACATGTGCAGCTGCTTGGCATGTTTGACATATGCAACTGCTTGGCATGCCTGATGTGTGCAGCTACTTGGCATGCCTGAAATATGCAACTGCTTGTCAAGCCTGACATGTGCAGCTACTTGGCATGCCTGAAATATGCAACTGCTTCGCATGCCTGATGTGTGCAGCTGCATGGCATGCCTGACATGGGCAGCTGCTTGGCATGCCTGATAGGCGTGGCGGTTTGGCATGGCAGCGCGGTCCCACTGCTTGGCATGCGTGATAGCTATGGCTGTTTGGCATGCCTGACATATGCAACCGTATTTGGCATGCTTGATAGGCTATGCCTTTTGCTGGCGGAGTGGGTGTGCTTGTCGGCGAGGCTGCTCCCCGCAGCTCAGGGGGTGCAACTGATTCGTGGGGCTGGTGGGCATGGCCTCCTTGTTTACGTTGGAGGGTGTCGCTGATGGGTGTGCGTGCTGGGTTCCCCCACTGGCCCTTTCGGTCACCTCCCAGGCTTCACCCCACCTGCCACTCTTGTAACCCCCCCCTCTTCTCACAAATTCCCCTCCCACACCATCTTTTGACCTTCATCCGCCTCTCAGACACACCCTAAAGTGTTGCAGATTCCTTCCACCCTCCCGCCCAACCATGTTTCATGGTGCAATTGCACAGGTCGGTGTGGCGCTGCGACCGCTTACCCCTTTTCCCCCATACGCATCCGCATGGTGATTGTGCCCCGCGCAGCTCAGCCCGTGACAGTTATCTATTTGTAACCTATTTATTGTGTGGTAACCGACCTCCCTACACACCCTTGGGCACCGGCCCTGTTGCCGGTTCTCTCCTGAAGTCCCTTGCATTCCGAGTACTCATTTGTGTATGAAGTTGTTGAACTAAGCTAGTAACACGCAAAGACTATAGAACAAAGCATGTCTTCTTGAACAACACCACATGCACAGAAAAACAATGGATGACCGGTATGACCGAGGACCAGAATAGCAGACATGCCTTTGAAATAAAAGCATATTTTCTCTCAGACAACACCAGAACGCCACACTGGCCAACAAAAGTGGTGCTCGTCACTATCCCCTGACCAGAAAGTAGTGTGTAGATAACTAGAGGCATTTGCACATGCCGCCATGGAGATGGGTCCCCCACAGTCCATCTCCTATCGGCAGTAATGTTCCCCCTGAAACCGTCTAATCTGATATGGCAGGGAGTGTGTACAGATAAGGGAAGAGGGTGGGGAGGGGAGGGGGAGGGGTGGGGATCTGGAAGGGAAGGGAGGGCAGGGGGAAGGGGAGAGGAGGATAGGGGGAAAGGGAGAGGACGATAAGGGGAAAGGGAGAGGAGGACAGGGGGAAAGGGAGAGGAGGATAGGGGGAAAGGGATAGGAGGACCAGGGGAAAGGAGAGGAGGACAGGGGGAAAGGGAGAGGAGGATAGGGGGAAAGGGAGAGGAGGACAGGGGGAAAGGGAGAGGAGGATAAGGGGAAAGGGGGAGGAGAACAAGGGGAAAGGGAGAGGAGGATAGGGGGAAAGGGAGAGGAGGATAGGGGGAAAGGGAGAGGAGGATAGGGGAAAGGGAGAGGAGGACAGGGGGGAAGGGAGAGGAGGATAGGGGGAAAGGGAGAGGAGGACAGAGGGAAAGGGAGAGCAGGACTGGGGGAAAGGGAGAGGAGGACAGGGGGAAAGGGAGAGCAGAATAGGGGGAAAGGGAGAGGAGGACAGGGGGAAAGGGAGAGGAGGACAGGGGGAAAGGGAGAGGAGGACAGGGGGAACGGGAGAGGAGGATAGGGGGAAAGGGAGAGGAGGATAGGGGGAAAGGGAGAGGAGGACAGGGGGCAAGGGAGAGCAGGATAGGGGGAAAGGGAGAGGAGGACAGAGGGAAAGGGAGAGGAGGAGAGGGGGAAAGGAAGAGTAGGAGTGGGGGAAAGGGAAAGGAGGACAGGGGGAAAGGGAGAGGAGGACAGGGGGAAAGGGAGAGCAGGACAGGGGGAAAGGGAGAGGAGGACAGGGGGAAAGGGAGAGGAGGACAGGGGGAAAGGGAGAGGAGGATAGGTGGAAAGGGAGAGGAGGACAAGGGGAAAGGAAGAGCAGTATAAGGGAAAGGGGAGAGGAGGACAGGGGAAAGGGAGAGGAGGACAGCGGGAAAGGGAGAGGAGGATAGGGGGAAAGGGAGAGGAGGACAGGGGGAAAGGGAGAGGAGGAGAGGGGGAAAGGAAGAGGAGGAGAGGGGGAAAGGGAAAGGAGGACAGGGGGAAAGGGAGAGGAGGACTGGGGGAAAGGGAGAGGAGGACAGGGGGAAAGGGAGAGCAGGACAGGGGGAAAGGGAGAGGAGGACAGGGGGAAAGGGAGAGGAGGACAGGGGGAAAAGGAGAGGAGGATAGGTGGAAAGGGAGAGGAGGACAAGGGGAAAGGAAGAGCAGTATAAGGGAAAAGGGAGAGGAGGACAGGGGAAAGGGAGAGGAGGACAGCGGGAAAGGGAGAGGAGGATAGGGGGAAAGGGAGAGGAGGACAGGGGGAAAGGGAGAGGAGGACAGGGGGAAAGGGAAAGGAGGATAGGGGAAAAGGGAGAGGAGGCCAGGGGAAAGGGAGAGGAGGATAGGGGGAAAGGGAGAGGAGGACAGGGGGAAAGGGAGAGGAGGATAGGGGGAAAGAGGGAGGAGAACAAGGGGAAAGGGAGAGGAGGATAGGGGGAAAGGGAGAGGAGGACAGGGGGAAAGGGACAGGAGGATAGGGGGAAAGGGAGAGAAGGATAGGGGGAAAGGGAGAGGAGGACAGGGGGAAAGGGAGAGCAGGATAGGGGGAAAGGGAGAGGAGGACAGGGGGAAAGGGAGAGGAGGATAGGGGGAAAGGGAGAGGAGGACAGGGGGAAAGGGAGAGGAGGACTGGGGGAAAGGGAGAGGAGGACAGGGGGAAAGGGAGAGCAGAATAGGGGGAAAGGGAGAGGAGGACAGGGGGAAAGGGAGAGGAGGAGAGGGGGAAAGGGAGAGGAGGATAGGGGGAAAGGGAGAGGAGGACAGGGGGCACGGGAGAGCAGGATAGGGGGAAAGGGAGAGGAGGACAGGGGGAAAGGGAGAGGAGGAGAGGGGGAAAGGAAGAGTAGGAGAGGGGGAAAGGGAAAGGAGGACAGGGGGAAAGGGAGAGGAGGACAGGGGGAAAGGGAGAGCAGAATAGGGGGAAAGGGAGAGGAGGACAGGGGGAAAGGGAGAGGAGGACAGGGGGAAAGGGAGAGGAGGACAGGGGGAAAGGGAGAGGAGGATAGGTGGAAAGGGAGATGAGGACAAGGGGAAAGGAAGAGCAGTATAACGGAAAAGGGAGAGGAGGACAGGGGAAAGGGAGAGGAGGACAGCGGGAAAGGGAGAGGAGGATAGGGGGAAAGGGAGAGGAGGACAGGGGGAAAGGGAGAGGAGGAGAGGGGGAAAGGAAGAGGAGGAGAGGGGGAAAGGGAAAGGAGGACAGGGAGAAAGGGAGAGGAGGACTGGGGGAAAGGGAGAGGAGGACAGGGGGAAAGGGAGAGCAGGACAGGGGGAAAGGGAGAGGAGGACAGGGGGAAAGGGAGAGGAGGACAGGGGGAAAGGGAGAGAAGGATAGGTGGAAAGGGAGAGGAGGACAAGGGGAAAGGAAGAGAGGTATAAGGGAAAAGGGAGAGGAGGACAGGGGAAAGGGAGAGGAGGACAGCGGGAAAGGGAGAGGAGGATAGGGGAAAAGGGAGAGGAGGACAGGGGGAAAGGGAGAGGAGGATAGGGGGAAAGGGAGAGGAGGACAGGGGGAAAGGGAGAGGAGGACTGGGGGAAAGGGAGAGGAGGACAAGGGGAAAGGGAGAGCAGAATAGGGGAAAGGGAGAGGAGGACAGGGGGAAAGGGAGAGGAGGAGAGGGGGAAAGGGAGAGGAGGATAGGGGGAAAGGGAGAGGAGGACAGGGGAACGGGAGAGGAGGATAGGGGGAAAGGGAGAGGAGGATAGTGGGAAAGGGAGAGGAGTACAGGGGGAAAGCGAGAGCAGGATAGGGGGAAAGGGAGAGGAGGACAGGGGGAAAGGGAGAGGAGGAGAGGGGGAAAGGAAGAGGAGGAGAGGGGGAAAGGGAAAGGAGGACAGGGGGAAAGGGAGAGGAGGACTGGGGGAAAGGGAGAGGAGGACAGGGGGAAAGGGAGAGCAGGACAGGGGGAAAGGGAGAGGAGGACAGGGGGAAAGGGAGAGGAGGACAAGGGGAAAGGAAGAGCAGTATAAGGGAAAAGGGAGAGGAGGACAGGGGAAAGGGAGAGGAGGACAGCGGGAAAGGGAGAGGAGGATAGGGGGAAAGGGAGAGGAGGAAAGGGGGAAAGGGAGAGGAGGACAGGGGGAAAGGGAGAGAAGGATAGGGGGAAAGGGATAGGAGGACCGGGGGAAAGGAGAGGAGGACAGGGGGAAAGGGAGAGGAGGATAGGGGGAAAGGGAGTGGAGGACAGGGGGAAAGGGAGAGGAGGATAGGGGGAAAGGGGGAGGAGAACAAGGGGAAAGGGAGAGGAGGATAGGGGGAAAGGGAGAGGAGGATAGGGGGAAAGGGAGAGGAGGATAGGGGAAAGGGAGAGGAGGATTGGGGGAAAGGGAGTGGAGGACAGGGGGAAAGGGAGAGGACGATAGGGGGAAAGGGAGAGGAGGACAGGGGGAGAGGAAGAGGAGGACAGGGGGAAAGGGAGAGGAGGATAGGGGAAAGGAAGAGGCCGACAGGGGGAAAGGGAGAGGAAGACAGGGGGAAAGGGAGAGGAGGATAGGGGGAAAGGGATAGGAGGACCGGGGGAAAGGGAGAGGAGGATAGGGGGAAAGGGGAAGGAGAACAAGGGGAAAGGGAGAGGACGATAGGGGGAAAGGGAGAGGAGGACAGGGGGAAAGGGAGAGGAGGATAGGGGGAAAGGAAGAGGAGGATAGGGGAAAATGGAGTTGAGGACAGGGGGAAAGGGAGAGCAGGATAGGGGGAAAGGGAGAGGAGGACAGGGGGAGAGGAAGAGGAGGACAGGGGGAAAGGGAGAGGAGGATAGGGGGAAAGGGAGAGGAGGACAGGGGGAGAGGAAGAGGAGGACAGGGGGAAAGGGAGAGGAGGATAGGGGGAAAGGGAGAGGAGGACAGGGGGAAAGGGAGAGGAGGACAGGGGGAAAGGGAGAGGAGGATAGGGGGAAAGGGATAGGAGGACCGGGGGAAAGGGAGAGGAGGACAGGGTGAAAGGGAGAGGAGGATAGGCGGAAGGGGAGAGGAGGATAGGGGAAAGGGAGAGGAGGATAGGGGGAAAGGGAGAGGAGGATAGGGGGAAAGGGAGAGGAGGATAGGGGGAAAGAGGGAGGAGAACAAGGGGAAAGGGAGAGGAGGATAGGGGGAAAGGGAGAGGAGGTCAGGGGGAAAGGGACAGGAGGATAGGGGGAAAGGGAGAGGAGGATAGGGGGAAAGGGAGAGGAGGACAGGGGGAAAGGGAGAGCTGGATAGGGGGAAAGGGAGAGGAGGACAGGGGGAAAGGGAGAGGAGGACAGGGGGAAAGGGAGAGGAGGATAGGGGGAAAGGGAGAGGAGGACAGGGGGAAAGGGAGAGGAGGACTGGGGGAAAGGGAGAGGAGGACAGGGGGAAAGGGAGAGCAGAATAGGGGGAAAGGGAGAGGAGGACAGGGGGAAAGGGAGAGGAGGAGAGGGGGAAAGGGAGAGGAGGATAGGGGGAAAGGGAGAGGAGGAAAGGGGGAACGGGAGAGGAGGATAGGGGGAAAGGGAGAGGAGGATAGGGGGAAAGGGAGAGGAGGACAGGGGGCAAGGGAGAGCAGGATAGGGGGAAAGGGAGAGGAGGACAGGGGGAAAGGGAGAGGAGGAGAGGGGGAAAGGAAGAGTAGGAGAGGGGGAAAGGGAAAGGAGGACAGGGGGAAAGGGAGAGCAGGACAGGGGGAAAGGGAGAGGAGGACAGGGGGAAAGGGAGAGGAGGATAGGTGGAAACGGAGAGGAGGACAAGGGGAAAGGAAGAGCAGAATAAGGGAAAAGGGAGAGGAGGACAGGGGAAAGGGAGAGGAGGACAGCGGGAAAGGAAGAGGAGGATAGGGGGAAAGGGAGAGGAGGACAGGGGGAAAGGGAGAGGAGGACAGGGGGAAAGGGAGAGGAGGATAGGGGAAAAGGGAGAGGAGGACAGGGGGAAAGGGAGAGGAGGATAGGGGGAAAGGGAGAGGAGGACAGGGGGAAAGGGAGCGCAGGACA